TATGGTATATTCTCTATATGACAGACACTTATGGACAAGAAAGTTTTGTTTGTTAATACAAAGATGCATGTCCTTCCTTTATGCGGAGGTTATTTCACTAAGATTGCTTTAATACAATAGTTTACCTGCAACCCAGTGATGATCAAGGTATGAGAGTACACTAGGAGCATCAGCTACTGCATCCTCCACTGCAAGCTTGAGCTTCTTACAGTGCAATACATTGAGAACACCAAGACGCTGGTAAGAGAATAGGGGGAAAACAATTAAATAATGATTTATAATTAACAAATAAAATATTTTGTGTAAAATATTCATTCAGCATGCTCATGCAGGAAAGGGCAAAATGGCAGTTTCTATTTTAAAATCTTAAGCATATTCCAATCACTCAAAATATATATAAACCCAGCTGCTACCAGTCCTTTCTTACCACCAGGTCTTCGGTATTAGCAGCAATGGAGGCTAGTCTTTCTCCAGTGACAACCAGCTGGCTGATGAGTTCACCGTACATCTCAAGACCAATGCTGTTCATCCAAGCAGCCAAATCTGATCCACTGAGGGAATGGAAGCTTTGGGCCCGTGTACTAAAATTAATAATGAAATAACAATAACAACAACAACAACAACAACAACAACAACAACAACAACAATAATAATAATAATAATAATTACTTTAATGGTTTTGAATTAGCATCTCCTTCTATATTAACATCCTTTCCACTGCTGCTCTTCCTGTCATAAAAAGAGGTGTGGTTTAATCCCCGCCCACTCAATCAATTAATTAACCCCACCCACTCAACTCACCGGCCAAAGGCTTTCCTAAAAGACTCACGGAAGCTACGTTGCCTCTTGAAACCAGAGGCTGAGCTACTGCTGGTGTGACGGGGGAGGGACCCACCCACACTGCCAGTAAGAGCTGTCAGTGAAGCAGTCTTTGGGGCATACTGTAGATAAAATAATAATAATAATAATAATAATAATAATACATGTACAATAGGCATGAAGGGAAAGAGATTAAGTATATTTACAAGAGTTAAGGCAAAATTATATTATACTGACACTTATAGAGTAACAGATTGTAATATTATCAGATAGTATCAATGTTGTGTAACTATAGTATTCATTTGTTGCAAATACTACACTGAGATATATGTAGTAGCTGTAATTACACACACTAACGTGATGGTATTGAATTAAGTGTATGAATAAAGTTATTATACTAGTGTAATAATTAAATATTTGAATTAACATTTTGGTGCCAAATTAACATTTTAAAGGAGAGAGAGAGGGGGGAGGGAGGGAGAAAGAGAGGGAAGGAGAAGCAAAAAGCAACTTGGACATAATGAGTTTATAAAACTAAACTTACAGTTCCTTTTAGATTGGAATCACTCACACCAGAAGCAGGTGTAATGCCAGAGCCACTCCGACTGTGATTATTGTGCAACGGCTGCAAAGGAACCTAAGAAGACAGGGCCATTATAATCATTATCAGAGCTATTATTATTATTATCACATACTTAAATATATCATCCATAACCAGAATTATGGTTAATGTCATAACACAAACAAGGGAATAAAATGGATGACAGGTGCTAGCATGTCTACTATGCACATGCTCTGCATGCCAACACACATGATACAGCTGCTTCTGAAGCACAAACCATAAAACAGAATAGCTAGGCGGCAATTTCTGGCAAAAGTACAGCTGGTATCAAGCCACCCACAACCTGTGCAAATGTATGTCAACTACCAGGCAACCGATTACCCAAACAACTTGAGAAGTCTATTTCAAACAGTCAAACTGCAGTACAAGATTATAATAGCCTAGAGCAGTTGTTCATGATATCGCAGAAAGAGAAATTAGAGACTAAAGTTATAGACTAAAGAGCTCAAAATGGCTTCATGTCCTTATAGTGCGATAGTAAATATTGATAGTATCTGAGAACACATTCCTATAAACCACAAGTGCTTATAAATAATAGTGTATAGTCAAAATAGGCATAGCATTACAATGATCAAAGTGAATCACTTTAAATCATGACGACAAGCAGTTTCAAGGGAAATATGTACCTGTACACATCAAAGCGATCATGTCACAATAATAATTAAATAATTTATTAATGAGATAAAAGTCAATATAAACAAGACCTCGTTTAGATTAAGAGATCGAATATACATTAGCCAGTTTAGATAGGCTACTTTTTACTTTCTTTATAAAGGCACCTCCTCTAGTGTATAATAAACATTAATAGAATCAACTTTCTATCCTACGCCTTCTTCATCTTACATGGTAACCTTCATCGTATATACTATAACATTCTTTAAACATACATACATAGCCATCTTTATTATTGCTTTATTCAAAATTCAGTGGTGCAGTGTAAAAGGAACAAGTCTATCAGTTAAGGTCATTTGTACTGCTACATGAATTTCCCTTTGCCCTCATTTGTACTACTACTACTTTCAACCATCTCCCTCTATTTCTCTCCAAACCTTTTCTCCCCCATTCTTTCCACCTTCTCCCTCCCTCTATTTCTCTCCCAACCTTTTCTCCCCCATTCTTTCCACCTTCTCCCTCCCTCTGTTTCTCTCCCAACCTTTTCTCCCCCATTCTTTCCACCTTCTCCCTCCCTCTGTTTCTCTCCCAACCTTTTCTCCCCCATTCTTTCCCTCCTACATAAACTGGATGTACATGCCCCCACTTCAAATCCAATACTTTATATTGTTTATGTTTAAAATGAGCAAGTTTTGTCTATCAACAGTTTATACTGCCTGACATGAATTAGCAGCTTCTCTTGGAGGTGAGGTCTATTAGCAGTTGTGTCTCTACTGGTGATATAACAACTCAAAAATAACAACGTTAAAAATACAATCTTTTAAGATGGTAGGTCAATTTTTATAAGTGACACGTTTAAATGAAAATATGTCAACCTCTAAGAGTTGCTATGTGTTTTCTCTCTGTCTGTCTCTCCCTCCCTCTCTCTTTCTCTCTCCCTTTGTTTACATAGCTACTCTATTATTATTGTAAGTTAATTTTTTAATGAACTCACTCGGCCCCCTTTGAGTTCTTTCTTGAGATTCTCGTTCTCAATCCTGAAGGTATCAAGATTCTTCTCAAGCGTCATGACCTGTTGGAGTAAAGTATCACGATCTCTTTGAAGCTCGCCAGCAAAAGAAGCCTGTTAAGAAGAGAGAAATAGCATTAGCAATTTAGCATGGAGATGACTGATAAAGAGAGAGAGAGAGAGAGAGAGAGGGGAGAGAGAGAGAGGGGAGAGAGAGAGGGGGGGGAGAGAGGGGGGAGAGAGAAAGAGGAGACATGAAAATGTGAGAAGGCTGTGATTAAAAGAGTGATAAAGGAGAGATGAAAAGAGAGAAAGAGCCAAGCAGACTGGTTCAAAGAAAATGTCACAAACAAACAAAGAACAAGATGATCAGCCTGACTCATTCAAAAGCAATACAATAATAATAATAATAAATAATAATAAAATTAATATTATAATATGGCCTGCAGTATACAGTCTAATATATAAGACTGATGTTATATGAGAGCTGGTTATAGCTAGCCTGGACCACAAACAAGTGCCTCAGAGGAGATAACAAGCTATCAAATGTCAGCTCAGTTGTCACCATGTCTCATAACAAAAGCTTAGGAGCAATCAAAACCTTTAAACAAACCTCCACTCCCTCTCTCTCTCTCTCCCTTCTTTCATTACAGGATAAAGTTCCACACTGTTTCTATCCATTTCTATCTCTTCTTTCTCTCTTATTTCTCATATTATTCTTGTGTGTTTATAATTAATATTATTATTAGACATAGAAATATTCACTACATCAGGTTAATGTAATAAGGACTCGAAATAACAAAATAAAAACTGATTATCATACTATGCTAATCCTATAAGCACAGGCAGGTACATGTACACATGTAGGCATCAATGAAAAGATAATGCACATGTGGTGTGTTCTGATTAAAGTGTGCTTGCCGTTTTAGGAGTGACAAAACAAGACACTAAAACACTGCCAAGTACCACAGGACTACTATCATGTAATGCTTTATTATTGGCATCGGATAGAGTTTATTGTTGTACTACTAAACTAAAGAATGATGTATACCTCTATGACTAACAAGTGAAGTTCTGAATGTGTGTCTGTGTGACAGTTACAGATTGATGGCATGTTAAACTATGTCCAGCAAAGAGCGAGAAGAGGAAAGAGAGAGAAAGAGAGAGAGAGAGAGAGTCTTTCTTTTTGATTTAGCAGAAGGAGAGAAAGAGAGTGTGGTGCATAAAAATAAAGTTCTAACCTGATCGCCAGTCAGCCATGATACGAGGAACTCTCTAGTTTCTGGTGGTATCTCCAGTCTGGAGTCAATGGCCCCATTGAGACCCACCACATGGCTCTGCAGCTGCTTACACAAAGAGACAACTTTTGACTCATGGCCAAACGTTGATGTTTCAGAAACACTGAGAGAGAAAGAGAGAGGGTGAGAGAAGTGGCAATTAAAAACAATTTTTTAAAATGTAAATTGAACCAGTAAGCTACAGCATATTATAGACCAGCAGCTGAACTATACAACAAGAAACTTTAAAAGAAACAATGGGCAGAAAGAGCAGCTGCTAGCCTTCTTCTTGCATTTCAAACCAACAGGAAAAGAGTAGCTACTCGGAGAAACTTACCCTATTCCCAAAACGCTGTCCATCCTTTTCAGAGCGTCTTTGAAAACCTCTACAGTATCGCCGCCTGTAGCACTGGCCAAAGCTCTCCCGCTGTACTGGTCAAAGTTGAGACTGTATCTTTTAATTCTGGAAGAGGAGGAGGAGGAGGTCCGCCTAAGGGCCATACAAACACGCGAGCTAATGCGGGGACAGAGTCTTTTATATTAGCAGGCAATGAATCTGGGATTTGGGCAGCAAAATCAACAATAAATTCTTGTGGCTTTGAACTCCCGGGAGGTGTTAGGATAAACTTTAAAATAATAATTCTGGAGAGGGCAAAGAAAGAGAGAAGACAAGAAGAGCTAAAGCTGCTTCCAATCCCACACGAGCTGGACTGTCTACCAGTACCGACCAATTTATTTTGAATTATTTAATAATAAGGTCAGTCGCCACTACGAGTTTACATACCTACACAAATAACTAGAACTAGTAGTCAAGCATAATAATTTAACTATGCAGATTATATTTATACTTAACTCCTTCCTTATAAATACCATGAAATGCTGTAAAGTGAGTTTATGTGAAAGGAATGCAGAGAAAAAGAATAGCAAGACTAGACGTGACCACGTGGTCAGCCACACCTCCAACAACCGTCTCCATGACAACCACGCATCAGCTCGGTACATACAACTATGGCGTACTCGTCCGCGAGTACAAGTGTACCCTCTTCTTCTCGGGGGAGCGGAGGAGCAGCTCACAGGGCCGTGGCACTCGACCTAATGCTCAGGACTTTCATGAACTCCCCAGAATTCCAGCCATACAACCCCCGCATGTGGGAAGGGATTTCAAAATTAGTTCCCGGGACGACCCCCCACCAAGTAAGATCATAATAGTACCAGACCATACTGATGAGCCTCTTCCAGTGCATTCAAAGGTGGGAAGAGCTAAGAAGTGCTAGCAAGTTCATCACGAGAGACTTCTCAGTCCTAGCGGCCAAAGGACGACCATTCACATCATCGTCATATAATACAAGTCACAGTACTCATTACAAAAAAGTAATAAATAAAGTAAAGTCTATTCACTTTGCATTATTTTGACACTTTCACCTTTTTTCAATTCAATTAATAAATGACTACGTCACATCCGCATTCTTTACGTAGTTGTGGTTTTCGAATTGTTTTTGTTGCACAGAAGGAAGCCATACAGCTAATTAGCAGCTGGATTTATTCATAGTACGGTATCTATTGATAGATACAGTATCTATGATTTATTCTGGCTGTTTGAGTTTATACAGGGACATCCAAAAAAGGGCTAAGGCCTTCTCGATCTTTTTTCTAAAGGATGGGAAGGACCTAGCGATTCTAATGGTACTAAATTCTGTGTTTATCAAAAGTTATAACAAAAAAATGAATAGGTCAGGTAGCGACAATTCCATACTTCATAACTCCATACCCATACTTCCATGCTCTCATTCTTATACTTTCATTCCTAGGACCCAGCCTTCACAAGCTCAGTTACAGAGTTACCTCCTATTACTAATCCAGCAGCAATCTCCTCTTCTTCTTCCCGCCCTCCCTCATCAACTGCAGCGTATCACTACGAGCAGTACAGGGGGTCTCTTACCAATGAAAGTTATAGCAGATTATCTGCTGGTAGGGGAAGACTGGCAGGATCATTCTGTCAGAACTACCTGTACAAGAGAGAGAAAGAATATAAGAGAGAGAGTCAGGGTAGAGTGAAGGATAATGGTGGAGGAGTAGAAAGGTAAGAAATTTTAAAAATAATAATATTAATAATGAATATTTTTATGCAAGCTTTGCACATTATAAAAATTACATGTATAAGTATTAAGCACTGTGATAGTAGCCAAATTGTATTGTCAATATCTTTTGACACACCAAGCAATGACTGTAAACATTGGCCAGATAAAATATAATTATTTTTTATGATAGAGCACTTTTTAATGCAATTTCTAATAGGCAATATTCAAGGCAGTCACTTTCTTCAGTGAGTGAAAATGCAATTAGAGAATCTACAAACAATAAAATAAAATCACTTGACACGTTTGAACATGCACAACTCAAGAAAACTACAGATACAGATACCACCACCACAAGCAGCACCACTACTGCTAATAATAATAATGATAATGCTAATAATAATACTAACAGCAATACTAGTAATGGTAATACAGCAGAACATATTGAAGACAATAGCAGCAAAGGCAATGTCCAAAATCCTGATAAAGATACAGGAGATGATGATACTGCAATGAGAAGCAGTGCACATACAACGCCTACTAAAGATTATGTTAAAAAGGAAACTATTGCTGGTACTAATGGAGCCAGTAAAGAAGGAGAAGGAGAAGGTCCTAGTATAAATGATGTGAGCCCTGCTGGTATGAATCAGCTAGTGATACATGTAAAAGATGAAGCAAAAAAGAGTAAGTTATATCATTAGCTGTCTATAATACAGTAACTCATACTTAATAGAGTCAAGGGATTTCTTATGTTCAAGGGAACTACTGATTAGTGAAATGAAATATTTTAAGGAGTACTTTTTGACTAATTTGCCAGCAGACATGTCCAGAGAGTGGGAGGAAATAGACATTAGTGTCCATTGTGATATTGGTGTCTTCCATTGGCTGATGACTTATGTGAAAAGAGGAATGAATGAGGGACCTACTGGAGAGAAGAGAGACAAACCTTTGGAACCACCTGAACTATGTCAGTGTAAATATAATCAAGTTTTTTATGTAATGTGTATTTAATAAAAAAATTGAGCTGATTTCAATCAAAATTGCATTTTAAGCCAAATGCCCTGTACTATATAATACAGGGAATTTTGCAAAAAATGACTTTATGTTCTTATTTTTTCTTCCTCCTAGCTCCAGCAAATGCAGTTTCTATACTGATATCATCTGATTTCTTAAGAATGGAAGAACTGGTCAGTCAGTATTATATTATTTGCTCTACAATATGTTCTACTGATCATTACTACTGTACATTTCCCCCACTCATTAGTAACGCGGTAGCGTTACTAAGTAGGATTCACCCCCAAACAAAATGGCTGCCACGACTTTTGCAGCCTTGCTTTATCCATTGATCTCATACCATCTCCCCCAATTTCTATCTGTACCATTAACAATGTCATATGTACATCTACATGCATCTCACTCTCTCCCTTTTGCTACTTTTCTCCTCCTCTCTTTCTCCCTCATAAACCTTTCTTCTTCTTCTCTTACTAGGTTGAGAAGTGTTTAGATTACTGTCATCACAACATGACTGACATATTAGCCTCACCAGCTAACATAGGCTGCATAGGAGGTGACCTTGTCCACAGGTCAACAAAACAGCATTATTTTATTAGAATAGCTTAAATGAATTACAATAAAGTCAAGCAAAGTTTTTATAAATTAAACATTAATAGGCTAGCTGATCGATTCTCACCTTTAGAAGCTGAAGCAATAATTGATGAAAAAGACAAAATAAAAAGGTTGTACTACAATCATTATCATTAAATGATAAGTATTGTTATAATTTTTATTTTGTAGTAAAATCTATCTCTGTTTGTTGGAGAAGCTATTTGATCCGACTTATCGTCATTCAGAATGTCCACAGAATGCATCCACTTTATACAAGTTAGAAATAATAATTATAATGAATATCTTCTTTATGCAACCTGCCTATTCCTTAATTCTGTTTATATTGTAATCATTTCAGATGTAAGATCTGTGGAAGATTTCTTACGCAAGCACAGCAGTCAATATTCAAGTGCACTTCTAGCAGGTAAGTATGGAAAGTACAACTCTTGATAATCTGATAAATTGAGTTTGAGGAGACTAAGCAAATAACTGGGAGATAACCTCCACATTATCACAATTATAATATCTCTAATAGCATTAAACTAAATGAGTTAAGTTACATCTACACTCTATACAAAATGAAGCAGTAGATACCCTTAATATCAGTATATTGTGTATGTACATGTACATATGCTACAAGTGTCATCATCATTATTAGCACTAACTAGCCTTATAATCATATTGCAGGTTGACTGTTAATAAAAGAGGACAATTAGTTCATGAACATGAAAGGTAATATAAGGACTCAATCAAAGACTAACAGACTTAAGATTTCACTCTTCCAATTCTCTCTTCTTTTCATCCACTCATCTTTATATAGGGATGCAACATGGAGCATTGACAAGTATCTTATGTCATTAAGAGACAAGAGAATGACTTGGAGAGAGATCTTTTGGAAGTAAGATTATGTAGAATTGCTATATATCTATAATGTTCAGTTTTATGATAATCATAATATATACTTGTACATCTTACTGTCGTCCTCTTGTGTAGACTATGGGGCAAAGTGAACTGGTTGAGCTGCTCTCAGTGTGGTGATCCTTTTCAATGTTCCTCTCTCTCTACGTGTCTCTATCATCCTAAACAGGTTGTACAGGTTGATAGTGATGGCTCTAAACTGCCTCCTGGTACAGGGAGGTACTTCTGCTGTGGACAAACGATAGGAAAATTCACGTCTTTACCAGCTGCAAAAGTATGAGAGGAAGGAGAGAGAAAGAGACATGGACATATGCTTGTACATGTACAGTGAACTTTTTGAGCAACTTTAAAAATTTGTAAAAAAATCCGATTTTGATTGGAATCAGCTCAAACTTTCTACTTAATATAAGAACATGTATATGCATCAGAAAACTTTATAAAAATGGAAAATACTAATATATTCTATATAGGGTGGTTGTCAATACAGAAACCATACCCATCAATCAGACATATCAGCAATATTAATAAAATTAAAAGACATCATCTGTGAAAGGGTTGGCCTGCCCGAATCCACAGGAGAACGGGATAATGGTCACTTTAATATGTCATTTTCTAACATCATCATTAAAGAAACATTACCTATAAAGGTATGGATTATCAAAATATATTATTATTATTATTATTATTATTATTATCTACAGGTTCTCAATATTGACTTAACGAGCAATAAGAAAGCCACACCCAAACAAAAAACCTCACCTTCAGTTGACACAAACAACAAAACAAAACAAACAAACAACAACACAACAAACAACAACACAACAAACAACACAACACAAACAAACACCACTGCTACTAGTAGCATCACACTGGATAACAAAGGAAAAGGACGACACGGGCGAGCTATGGGTACGACGGTCGGTACGATGGTAGGACGGACAGGAGTAGGAAAGGAACAGTCGGGCGGTGATAACGGACAACTGGTCGAAACAGCTAAAAGAGGAGAGGGAGGAATGACTGCAAGAAGAGATTGTATAGTTACGGAGGAAGATGGAACAGGATCTGAGAGAGACACTACTTGTACAGGTAATTCATCAATGGCTTGTACTGATATAGAAGAAGATGAGGAAGACATGAAGAAAGGTTAGTAAGAATTAAAATAATAAGAATAAAGAACTCGTTATTGTGTTTAATAGTCACGGTTGTAGTTGAGAAACCACCTCAACCATTAAAAAAGGTAAATTATTGTTGTTATTATTATTGTTGTTTTATCTTATGCTTAAAGACTATAAAGAAGATTAAGAACTGCTCTACTAAAGGAAAGACTGAAAAGTAAGAAGAAGAGATATTAAGATGAGAGACAAAAGAGTGTTACACTAACCACACAATGATAATAAATAATCTCAACGCGTAACTATTAGGATACTGTCAGATATGGACTGGATATGGGACAATACTAAATCAGTCCGCTGGAACCAAGACATGCAGAGATTCCAAGGTACTTACATGTGTACACTATAGTATAGCGTATTTCGCCAAATTTTGAAGTTAATTTTGAAAAATGCACAAACGTTTAAGTAGAAAGTACAATATGATTCATACAATGTATCCCTCTTAACAGATGAACTAAGGATATCACAGCTGCAAGGTCACCTCCGAAAATTAAAATTATCGACTTGCAAAAAGAAAGTACCACCGCGGCCGCCACCAAAAATCAAACAAAGATCTATATCATCAGATTTCGGCTCTCATTCCAGTACAGGAACTGGCAGGAATAATGGTGGAATATATGCTCAACTTGAAGGACAGTTCTTTGCTAATTTAGCAAGGAGCCAGAAACTGAGGTAAAGAGCAATAGAAAGTGTGTGGGTGTGAAGTTTGAGGAATTCTCTCTTTGTGTTTGTATGGGTGTGTGTTAATTTACTGCTTCAGTTGCTAATTATTATTGTTTTTGATTTTTTCACAGTAAGAGCAAGAGACAGAAATTTAAATAGCGATAAATATGACACTTATTCATTATTAATGTTAAATTAATTGTTAAAAATCACGAATTCATCCTGACTTGTTGGCACTATTATTTTTTTGTTTTATGATTAATGAGATTTTCTGATTGATTTTTAAAGCAAAAAAAACAATTTTGAGAATTAACATAATAATGCAAAAATTATTCAGTGACATGTCTTAACATTATTGTACACAGATCTTCACCATCATCAGTCAATGTAGATTATCCCAGGTTTCGATCTATTTTTAGTAACACCGTAATGACTGCTATTAATAGTAACATGTCTTTCAGCCACTGATCTATTATTAGAAGGACTGTCATAGTTTTTCTCGGCACATTGACTAGCATGTAGCTCCAGCGCATAAAGAGGAACTGGTTCATTGCATATTGGACACGATTGGATTGAACTAAGATCCTCAGTCTTGTCTTCTACAATCTACACACATCAACAATGAGAATATTAATAGTTAATACCAGTGTTAGATGATTACTTAAACTTTATTATAATAGACTAGATTTAATTTTTTATGCCCACCCTCCCCTGAAAATTATACAATACTGGTTTGCTCCTTCCTTTTAAAAATACTCCATTCACCTTTCCATCATCATCATCATCATCATCATCATCATCATCATCATCATCATCATCATCATCATTTTCACCACCATTATACTCAATGGTAGCATCACTATCTGTGTCTTCTCCATCTTCATCTCTCGAGACTTTACCGCCAAAAAAATCCAACAGTTTCGACTGCTTTGTCTCCAGCAGTAAAGGAATGTCGGACATTTCTATTGGAGCAAAACGAGGTAGTGATCCTAACCTTCTCCCTCTTCCTCTTCTCTTGATCCATCCTTTCACAGTATCTGACGGTTTTTGTTTGTCTCTTCGACTTCGTCTTTTGTTCCACCTGCTTCGATCAATGCAGGATTCTTCACCAATCTCACTGGAATCATCTAAACAAAATGATACAATTCATTAATTATACTATAGCCCATGGTTTTCTCCAAAAAATGGCTCCAAAATCAACCCCAATTTTTATTACATTTTCTGATACATATTAATGTACTTATGCTGTGTAGAAAGTTTCAGTTGATTCCGACTTCAATTTTTCAAGTTATGACCACTTTTTAAAAAACGTCAAAATTCTGAAAAAATCCCTGTACTATAGCCCATGGTTTTTTCCAAAAAATGGCTCCGAAATCACCCCAATTTTTAATACATTTTCTGATACATATTGATGTATTTATGTTACATATAAAGTTTGAGCTCATTCCGAATTCAATTTTTCAAGTTATGACCACTTTTTAAAAAACGTCAAAATTCTGAAAAAATCCCCTGTACTATTATAGTCCATGGTTTTTTTCATAAAATGGCTCCAAATGTATTGACTTATGCTACATAGTAATTAAGTTTCAGCTGATTCTTCCTTCAATTTTTCAAGTTATAACCATTCTTTAAAAACTCAAAACATTGGAAAAGCACCCTGTACATTCTTATTATCATTATTAATATTATTATTATCATTATTAATATTATTATTATTATTATTCATAAACTAACCTAAATTGCTAAGCTTCATGTGAGTATAAAGCCTTGAAGTCTTAGACCTCTCCAAGCTGGCCACCTTGTCATCATAACTCGATATAAAATCAACTCCACTGTTATCAATATTATTAAGCTCTTTAGTCAAGAGTCTACGACGAACATAAGAAGCTCCACCCACCTCTTCCTCCTCCTCTTTCTCTTTGCTCTCTTTCTTAGCACTTGCAATACGAGACAATATTGGGTTAGCGTCCATCAGTTCCTTATTGTTACCTTTTAAAGTACTCTTTAACAACCTGGACTGGTTCTCTAACCCGGCAAACTCAAACTCTTGACTGTCCTCCTCCAACGGTGCCCGCTCCTTTCTTGGTCTCTTGGGCGTGGCACTCCCATCGTCGCTGGCAAAATCCCCTCTCCCCCGGACACTCAGTCCTGGTAATTTTGGAGTACGAAGAGGAGGAAGAGGAGCAGAAGTTGAGCCTCTTTTCGAAAGACTCTGAGGACTTGACATTGAGTTGGTTCTCAAATGTTGTGGGGTATTGAATTTCTGAAGGTTTTTAATCGGAGAAAATAAGCTGTTTAACGGAGACCTTCCAGAAAGAGAAGGAGATCCTGTCTCAGATCCCTGGAGGCTCTGGCTGGTTTGAAATAGTTTGATGTAGCGAAGACCATAAGGTTTTTGAGGAACGTAAGGCTGAAGACATTGGATTTTAATGTAACGCCATTTTTTATCAGTAGCAGCTTTAGATAAACGATCTGAGAAAAAAGACAATAATTTTTTTTCTAATTATAAGTACAAGTAATATCAAAATAAAATCAAATAGCGATAACTATTTTTATATTGCATGCATTTATGTATTATAATTAAGAAATGGATTGTACTCGTACACATGTACCTTGACCAAATACTTTAGTTCTTGTCTGATTCCGGCCACTTTTACTCTCCTCTGCTGTCATTAACATTGATTGAGGCAGCAATGAAACAAAGTCTCCACCAGATTCACTTTCACGAACTAACACTTCAACAAAAGCTGATCCTAAATTACCTAAAAATAAAGGAATTAATAATAACGATGATGATGCTGCTTACCTATCTCAATCTGGCCTATTTTGCTGTTTTTTGCCATTTCAACTTCAACAGTTGAGCATTTTGACTGATTCTCTGGTGAGCTGAGCCAGTGAAGGCTAGCAGCCGGTAAAAGAAGATTAGCAGCTTTGTGAACTTTATCCTTTTAACATAAACAAACAAATAAATAAAATAAAAGAACTAGTTTGCTTTACTTCTGAAGAAACAGAGAGAATCTTTTTCAATGGAATGGCAGGCATTGCCAAACACTTCCCGCCAAATTGCGCCTAATTATTAGAGCCACGCCCACACGGCTGCAACCAATCAAATCCTTCTCTCCACGTGCACTGCTGACTGGAGTGCACTGCATTCTAAAATGAATGTTGTGAGGTCAAATTTCTCTTCTGCTCTCCTTAGTATAGAAGCTCTCGTTAAAGAGAGTGCGTTTATAGGTATGCTAGCAATCTATATAATTCTCTTTTGAGTCTTTCCTACAGCTATAGACACAGAATTTACAGGTCTATCAACTAATGAAAGCGATAATAGAAGGTAGAGTCCTTATGCGTGGGTGGGCACCTTAATTTTAATTTTTTTAATAGTTTATTTGATACTATTGAGTCCCGTTATGCCAAGCTTCGTAGAACAGCCCATAGTTTTACGATATGCCAATTCGGTAAGTTATTTTATTCAAATAGTATTATTAATATTATTTTATTATAATAGGAATGTCAGTCTTTATTAGCGACCCCGAAATGAAACAGTAAAGGGTTAATAATTAATTTCTACTTTTTTCATTATTACTGTATAGTTACACCGCCCACTCATTCAACTTCTATTTGTTTCCGAAAACTTTTCAGCATATTTATAACCCAAGATTTTTAATCCAGGTCCACCATTAATTTTATTAATATGTATGATATTAATATTTCTCTCCCATGCATTGAATACAGTGCGCCAATATAGAATTTCTCTGTGAACATTCGTTTGATTTCAACAAGTGGTTCTACGAAGGGATTTCATTTTGCAACCGGCAGGAGGTAAAAGCTAATTATTTGTTAATTGTTTTTGAGCAGTAATAGGAGGCAAAGCTTACGACTGAAGTAGTTAGCAAGGAAGAAAAGTGCACTTTAATTATAAATTATCGCCTTTTTTATTGTGCTAATTTAGAGAGGACATAGTTGGCTTTAGAAGACTTTTCCAGCTGCTAGTCGAATCTAAGAAAGTAATAATGAAGTATTTTACTGAAAACTTGCTCTACTTTTACCATACCAGCCATTACTGGGTCATAATATGCTCCTTGACTTGGCGTACATGTTCGATTGCTTTCATGAGCCACTACCAAGTGAGAAAGTATTAATCTACTACTTTTATAAAAATAATTATGAAGCTAGTTATACAGATTTCAAGGCCACACTTCATTTGTTGTTTCCAGTCATTATTGATACTAAGAACATATCAAGGGCTATTAGGACAGTAAGTTCATTAATGATGCTTCATTGACGCATTTTGGACTTTTAGAAAATGGACAAATATATAAACAAGACGAGTCTTGATGAGCTGTATGCTTCATTAAGCAAGTATTCATGTATTTTATAATTGCAGACTTTATGTGCTTATTATTTTAAAAGTGAAGAGTATGCTAAATCTGTCATTTATGCACCAGATGTTGTTCATAGTCCTGACTCCAGTAGATATGGTAATGAAGCAAAAGCTTACGTGTGTTTGTCATTGAATGATACTTACAGGCGAAACTAAGTGCTTTCATGAAGCTGCTTATGACGCTTATTGCGTTGGATATGGTAAGTTTAAGAAAATGAATGACTCTTGTTTATGTTGCAGTTTCTTTGCCATTTTAGTATTTCTAAAGATGGCTCATTTCCTTGCTATTAGTAACATGAGGTGAGAATGTACTCAATGAAATATGCAATTCATTCTCTATTGTCTAGCCATCCCAGACCAGTTCACTTTAAGCAGTATCTGAAAACAATCGAGCCTTACAGCAACAGGATCAATCTTGTTCATGGTCCTATTAATTACATAGTGAGATCTCACCGCAATACTTACATGTATCGAGACTTTAAACATGTACATGCCTTTTAGAACCTTTCTGGTCCTGATCAAAAAGAAAGAGAGAACTATATTATCAAAGTGAAGACTGCTAGTGGAAAAAAGATCGATTTAAATCACGTAAGAAGAACACCAATTTATCCTTCATTTAATGATTTTTTGCAGCTGAAACAGGTCATCAAGTATGACACAGAGTTCAAGGTGTCATCTAAAGACTCAGTGTTAGTTGGTATACCAGTTAGTGGATGGTACGAACACTAGACTATAATCTCCATTATCATTCCTTAATGCAGGATGAAACCAATCATAGATGAAATAGAATCAAGTACATCAGAATATATAGTGGAGAGACATAGTACTATCAAGAATACAAAAAGATCTAGCATGAAGTATTACCAGTTGTTGTTAAATTTGAAATTATTTTTACTTTATTAGGAAAGCTATACCAGTTATTGCCCTTATAACTTGTGCCTGTATTGTCCTTTATAAATATAATTACTAATACCAAGAGATTACTAGAAAGAAGTCATTTATTTCTGCAGTCACTAGCAATTTTTTTAACGGGCTGCCCACAAAATTTTTGATGGCCCATCAAAAATTTGTATTTTAATGAAAATGGAGAAGCAATGCCTCATCCTTGGGCCACAAAATTGTGGGAAAACCTTATTAATTAAACGACTTCAGAATCTCAGCTCCTCATCAGGCAGTAAAGACCTTGGATCACGTGATGCCCTACCTCCACCCACGCAACCCACAACAGGAACAACACTGCTTACTATAACTACAACCCATGGCCCCGTCCTCCTTAAGGAATATGGTGGTAAAATGGCTCCACTGTGGCACAAAGCACTATCAAAAGCAAGCATGTACATTTACGTAATAGACGCCAGTAACCCGTGGGAATTGGGTGTGGCAATAGTATTACTTATGGAAACACTTGTTCATGAAAGCACAGCAGAAAAACCTATACTTTTATTCTTTAACAAGACAGACATAATAGAACACAGCACAACAAGCCTTGAGGAATGCAAATCGTTGTGTAGAGTATCAGATCTTGCAGAGAAATATAAAAACCTTTTTAGCGTGGTTGATGGAAGTTGTGTTACTTGTGAAGGGATGGAGGACATATTGAGATGGGTTACTGAAAACAGAGCAAAACGAGATTGAGTATGATTAATTTTGTTTATAAATGAGAACATTATCAAACATGACTGCTAAATATAACAAAAATGGTTTCACGATTGCACAAAAGAGTGATAAGTAATAAATAACAAGAGACTCCTGTAAGTATAAATATATATTTATAATAATAATAATAACGATCATGTAGCTACATTTACAAGTAGTTTAGCTTTCGTAAACTGAAGAATGAAGTCTAACTTTCCTTAACAAAACAGATTCACAATTGTCTCTTGGCGTCTCTTGTCACCTTCTTTAGTTTCTGATCATTACGATCAAGCTTAACTCTGATACGATCAATCTGATCGTTTGACTCGTCAATCTGACTACCCATCAGATACGCTTGGCCTTCAAGCATCTTAAGCCCCGCCTCCAGCTCGTCAAGGTTCCTATCAACAGTTGCATTTCCAGTACTTGATTTTACAGCCTGGGCTTGTTGCGCTTGTTTCTTTTGTTTTGGAGGAGAGGGAGGCATGGTAGATCGGCTGGACTTGGATGGAGCTGGGTCTTTATCTATTTTCGGTTTTGAGAACCTGTTCACTAGAGACCCAAAAACAGACTTGACTTCCCTCATGTTCCTCTTGCTGGACTCAAGGTCAATCGCCATTCGGTCCAAGTTGTCCTCTGTCCTGTCCAGAGACTCGGACTGTCTCTCCAATTCTTCTGACGTGTCGTTTGCTATTTGCATCGTCTCGTGGAGCGTCCTAACGCAGCGAAAAGAGGAGTCCTCCATTTTTTGGTTTGCTTCTGCTAGTCTTTGGTCCAGGTGATCTTCATAGTCTCTTCGTCCATAACCACCACCTGCTCTTCGGTCTCTATCGTAATCATAACGACCAGACATCTTGTATTATTCTCCTGTTGATTGATATGTTGTTCACTTGCCAAGTTGCTGCTCTTTTAGCTTTTTACTTTTTCCTCAAGGGCGTGGTCAGTTTATGGGCGTGTCTCATCACGTGTTTTCATTATGATACTATTAATAGAACACATGATGTAATCATAATTACCAAAATTATTACAGTGAAATTAAAAGTGCATAATCATATCATAATAATCATCTGACAAGCAGGTGGTGTTTCTTATCTAACAATAAAATAGAGTAGGATGATTAGGCAGACTGCAATAACTGCACCCAGAATGAGAGAGTCTCTCCTCTTTCTCAAGTTTATCTTCTGTACTACACTGTTTATGAGAGGGAAGCGATCTTGATAAAACATTGAGAATTAAGGAAAAATGACATTTTCTAATGCATAAGATCATACTAAATAGTATAGACTTATGAGTTATTATACCTTTTTAAACTGTACTACACAACTAGTGAATAGCTCAGTTATTATACTCTTATTATTATCATAAAAGTGTACTTTTCTTAACCCTATTACTAATCACATGATACACTGAGTGGCTCATCCATTAATACATATACACTGATGTCATCATGACCTGGCCTGCCATGAGGCTGCATAAACACATTATGTAAAGATAATTCCCTTGAAACCACTCAATTCAGTCTTATTACTAGTATAAAACCAATATTACACTAATGATTATTAGTAAGAGAGAGAGAGAGGGAAGGAAGTGGATACGTGTTACTGCTTGCATTCTTGATGTGATGTTACTAAACGCACCCCGTTGATGAGAGAGGTTCTCCTTTGTTGTCATGGCAATGCTATGGTAACAGAGGAAAGTATCGTCTAATAAAGAGAGGCAGGGGAGGGTGGGTACCTGATGGCTTCATCAGCCAGTGTGTCCGATCCCCTTATGTGCTCGTGTTCTTTTAAGTATAATTCTGTTCTTCTGTTTAAAGCTGAAGATGATTTATAGCTAAAGTAGGTGAGAAAGGATAATTAAAGTAAGTTTGAGCTCATTCTGACTTCAATTTTTGGCGTTATGGTTGTTTTTTCAAAACTCCAAATTTCGGAAAAATACCCTGTACTATATAGCCCATGGTTTTTTCCATAAAATGGCTCCAAAATTACCCCCAATTTTTATTACATTTTCTGATACATATTGATGTACTTATGCTGTGTAGAAAGTTTGAACTGATTCCGACTTCAATTTTTCAAGTTATGGCAATTTAAAAAAAACGTCAAAATTCTGAAAAATACCCTGTACTATAGCCCATGGTTTTTTCCAAAAATGGCTCCAAAATCATCCCAAATTTTTATTACATTTTCTGATACATATTGATGTACTTATGCTACATAGCAAGTTTGAGCCAATTCCGACTTCAATTTTTCAAGTTACGGCCATTTTAAGAAAATGTCAAAATTCTGAAAAATACCCTGTACTATAGCCCATGGTTTTTTCCAAAAAATGGCTCCGAAATCACCCCCAATTTTTATTACATTTTCTGATACATATTGATGCCCTTATGCTACATAGAAAGTTTGAGCCAATTCCGACTTCAATTTTTCAAGTTACGGCCATTTTAAGAAAGCGTCAAAATTCTGAATGACCAAAAAAAAGTTTTTCCACATAAACGTAACTTTCAGTCATTAAATTATCAATTATCATTATCTCTCTCTTTCCCAAGGCTCTAGAGGCATCCTTCACGCATGAGTCCTTAGCTAAGACCATCGGTATCACGCTAAACAAAAGTCTCATCGTAGCTCACCTCGGGGAAAAGTTCCTCCTACTCATTGGACCAACCTGCGCTCAGAGAAAAGTTGACGTCATGCAACACAAAACGTTCATTCCCATGAACCCTCTGGAGCAACCGCCTAAAGTAAGCTACTGCATTATTGACTAGACGTACATTTATTAATTATTATTATTATGACATTTTAAAGACTAAAGGTCGTAAAACTAGCAAGAGGTCAAAGCAGTCCAACCAAGAGGAGACTTATCTCTGCCCTCCGACTGAAGTACCCACTGGATCTATTGAGAATACAGGTACGAGGGGAGGGGATGATAAAGTAGAGTTGTTATGTGGCAGAAGATTAAAAAGAAATGAGAGATACTTCGTTCTTATTGTGGTGCATTTTTGTACTTGCTACCTACTAAACTCTTTCACTTAGCTTTTTAAAGTGTTGTACTGTTGTGACATGAATTTAAAATGTACTCTCCCTCTTCCTTTTCCTCTCTCAGAGTTTGGCATTCGCAATCTGACAGTTTCATCAGAGACGGGCCAGAGGAGGAGCATAGTGTATTCTCCATCTCCAGTTGAGCAAAGGTCCAATACTCCAGTCAATTGTCCAACTCCTCCGATGGTACACGCCCATAATCAGCCCATTCAACCACATCTTGGTTCCATCTCTAATCTGGTACCACCTCCTCCCCCTCCTGCTCCGCCTAGTATGGCCCCGCCCCCAAGTATTCCTCCACCTCCTTTAGCTTTTACTCCGTCGCCGTCAAGTATTCCTCCTCCTCCTCCTCCCCCTCCTCTGCCATGAGTGGGCGGGGCTTGCATATCGTCAATTATACACACGTACATGTACGACAGACTTGATATTAAATGATAGCTAGTTCATTTAATAATAACAATAATAATAATCAGTAATTGTTATTAAATACAAACGCTCTATAAGGATCCCATTATATTATTGTGACTGTTTCTGTTGTTGATTTTTAAAATTAATAAGTATTATCATTATCATTATTTTAATTATTATTATTATTATTAGCTACATATACTTGTATGTTTTATTTATGATAAATTATTAAGTAATAAAAATTACAGTTATATGAATTAGTTTGAGTGACAACAAGATCCTCACATCATAAATACATCATTGATTGCAACCTATCACGTCACTACATGCATTGGTACAATCATCTAATGCTTTAGTCAAATCGTCTTTCTCTCGATTAGGACAATTGGCCAGGACAACCTCGGTCTGCCCCAGAACCCTCCTCAATTTCTCTATCTTTCTCAGACCCTCTGCAGTCACGGCCCCAGACTTATAACACTCGTTAATCCCTTTCATGGCGTCAGCACAACCAGCCAGTGCCTTGACAAGATCACTATTGACTCTTGAAGTACATTCTCCTCCTTCTTCTTCTTGTTTTATTTCTAGCAGTTCATTGCAGCCTTCATTAAGACTAAAGAGGTTAGCTCCGGAGTAGTAGGAATGGTAAAAGTTGTAGCCTTTAGAGAAATGAAGAAGACTTAGCAGTGCAGCTGTAATGATAACAATACTGTTCATATTCCCGCTCTTTTTTTTCTGGGGCAAAGAGAAGTAGATGTAGAGTCCTTATTTTCTTGCACTAACAAAAGGTACTATTATCTTGAATACTAGCAGCACAGGCAGACTGCCCTCAATAAAAATACAACTTTAAGTTCCGTGTCATCCAAAAGCAGCCAAAAAATGAGCACACATGAAATATTACTTTACTATACACATGAAAGCGCTGCAACTTGATTTTATATTGAACAATAGCTGGTACTTTTAGCATCATTATTTATTAATAATAAAAATACATTAAAATTACCTCAGTGATGTGTGCAATGTACATATACATGTAATGCTGAAAGGTTAATGTAGTTAAATAATAGATAGAGAAGGATATAGTGTCAATCTGATGTCTTCATACAGAGTCTTGCTAGTAATCCCGACAGCTGCAACAATGAGTCCACACCTTTTATGATCCTCATGTGAGTATAACCAACTTCCTGTCAGGGGGGGGGAGAGAGGAGTGAAGAGGACAATATACGAGAGAATTCACCATTTTTATAATTTTTTCTGATGCATGTATTGCACATGTTCTTATGTTGCATAGAAAGTTTGAGCTGATTTTGATCAAATTTGGATCTTAAAGTTGCTCAAAAATCAGGCCAAAGACCCTGTACTATAGTACAGGAATTTTTATCAAAATAGCTATTACAAAAACCTACAGATTTTTGCCAAAAACCACGGCCGTCATTCTTACATTCTCTGATGAATCTTTACCTTAAGGTATTCTAATTTCAGGTACTCCGACATTGAGTGAGTCTTACAGACACGGAAGATACTCGTGATGATATCGTGAGCCGAGTATCCTTTATCCCAGAGGGTCATTAATATCAAGAAGGCGGAGTCAATATCGGAATTATTACAGTGAGTGAGCATCTCTTTAATTAACAGTGGGTGTGGCTCATCACATACCTACGATACAAAAATAAAAAATATTATACTAATTAAAAAACTTTTCTTGCAATAAAAGTTAAGATATCTCTACTTTACTTTGAAAACATTTTCGGAATTTATGAATGAAAAACCATCATTAGTCGACTGTAAGTTATTCAGTGCCTAAGAGAAAGAAAAGGAGAAGGTAATTTTAAAAAGGATTTGAAGAGAAAAAGAAGAAGACCAGACCTGCCTCATGTCTCCTTGAGCTGTGAATATAATGGCCTCCAATCCATCATCAGTGCGAATGAGCTAATAATAATAATATGAAAAAAATATATAAATAAATAAATACATTTAAATACATGTATATTAATGTATTATTAATGTATTAGTTTTACTAACATTTTCTTTGTCGCAAACTTCCAATAGCCTCTCAAGTATCTGAGCATCGGAGAGTCGAGAGTATCTTAACATTGCACAGCGGGATTGTATGGGTTCTGAGAAAAAAAATGGAGAGAGAAAGAAAAAATTACGAGAGAATGATGACGGAAATGTCTCACCGATAATTTTCTCGGAGTCATTGCAAGCGAGAGCGAATCTGGTAGTCTTTGAATAAATCTCCATCGTTCGTCTTAGTGCTTGTTGGGCTCCATCAGACATGCTGATGGTATTTCTTTTCATTATTTAACGCATAAATTTCAAGTCATACCTGTCCGCCTCGTCAAGTATGACGATTTTGTGTCTCCCCGGGGGGAGGGTGACTTTCTGATGCGCAAACATTTTAATCCGGTTCCGAACAACATCAATCCCCCTAAATAAAAATAATAACAACAACAACAACAACAATAATGCTAATATTGAATACCTATCGTTAGATGCATTCAGCTCTAGCACTGCATCTTTCATTGATGCACCCAATAGCGTCCTGGCCAAGCATAGTATACTGGTTGTTTTACCAGTTCCTGGGGGACCCTGTATTATTAAAAATTAATATTAGAACCCCTCAATTGATTCCCCTACTTACGGCTATAATAATGTTTGGGACGTTTCCCTCTTTCGAAAAAACCTGAGAGAGCGAGAAAGTGCTTCAGTTTATAAATTGACTGTCTCTCCTTACTTCAAGTCGTTTCACTGTATCTTCATTACCAACAATTTCTGATAGCTTTTGTGGGCGGTACTTCTCCACCCTAGTAAGAGAAAAAATTGAATTATACAGAATAAGTCTTCTCCTGCTTTACCACGGGACATTTCTTGTCTTCCCTTCTGCTTTCTTCTTTGGCTCTGCAACTCCTGCTGCTTCAGGATCAGCCACGTTCTCTACTTCCATTCCCTCCTCCATGACAGTCAGGCCCGCGCTAAGGTACTGCGCATGCGCCAACCCACGTGTAGACTTTGGGTGGATATAAAAATGAAGGTTACAACGGAAGTGGTAGTCTTTTTGCTGCGCTGTACAAAGATGTGGGCCTCTTTACTCGTTGCTCTTTCTTTAGTTGTGCTCTCCAGTGGACAGACTCCATCAATTTCCGAGACATTTGCTGCTGACGTGAGTTAAATGGGTGCTTTATCATGCTATCACCAACATCATCAGCCATGAATATCACTGCATATTATTTTATAGGTTGAAGTTGAAAGGCACACAAGGGGTGAAACTCATTTTGGAGTCGGTAAGTATTCTATTCATTTATGCAGCATTCCAGTCTCTATATCATCCTTCAGGTGAGATATGCAGGGATCAAACCAGCCAAAAAGGTCTTGAAGCCTACAACATCACATTGGGAAATGCCTCCAACTACGAGATAGTGTACAGGCTGGAGAGATACGACCTGGACCCACCAGTGGAATACCACATCAGAGGGTAAGCTCATTTAACTGAAAGAGCATGCAGCTCACATGCTAGTTCTGTGTGCAACTGAAAACAATGGAATTGTTATCCATTGAAACTAACTGTTGCATAAACCACATAATACACAATGCATTATAGTAATTGAAATCCTTAGCTCATGAAGCTGATAATATATTCTGTTATTCATCATATTAATCTACTTCTCTATATAGTATCAGTCAAGATACACACATGCACTGCAATATGGAGGATCCTCCTGATCCCAAGCTCCAGCCATTCTTTGGTTGGCTTGCAAATGCTAAAGACCTTGGAGAAATAGAACTTGAGAATGTTAAAGTCCATGCATACGCTATTGAGGTAACAACTGGCAGTAATATATATTATCTATGACAATCATGCTGTTATTACTATAATTAAATTATAATGTAGTACATATAACCGTAACCTTATGATGCTTCACATAATCATAATTGTTATTCTCCTATTTTACAGTTTGCTGGCACTAAGGTTGTATTGGGTGTGGATCCAGATGATGGTACAAAACCAGTGATCCTCCTTCGAGAAACTGCTGGTGAACAGATGTACGTTACATTCAAGACCTTTAACACCACAGTGGATGCAAATGCCTTTGATATTCCTAAGATGTGCAACCAACCACCACTAAAATAGAAGGGGACTGGTTCACAATACTATACTAAACATTATTGATTGATTTGTTTAATTATTATGCCGTACGCTGCCTATAATATTTTTGCTGATGTACACTTTATTTTGTTGCTGCTTTAATAATAATGATATATAATGCATAATATTTCATGCATCATTTCAGCAAATTTAAATGCCATATTTGCTGAAAGGATTAACGCTGTGCTAAGCATGTGACAATAGATGTGAAGTCTATTCATAAACTGAGAGTGCATGAATATGTTCAACACTGACTTGTGGACAATCATCATCAGACACGTGTTACCAGGTAATAAACAGGTCACCATACCATCCTACTGCTAGTCATGTGCCAACCCAAGGGTAGACTAGGTGTATAAAAAGAAGTGATTTTTGCTATCATAATTATTTAATAGTCGTTACTAGGCTATAAACAAAGGAGAAAAAAGATGCATATGTGGATCTCTTTACTTGTTGCACTTTCTTTTGTGATACTCTCGAGTGGACAGCCTCATCCTACAATTTCTGAGACATTTGCAGCTAGAGTGAGCAGCAGCTTCATAGCTGCATGCATTAGTGATAATTTTATATTATAATAGGTTGAAGTTGAAAGAGACACAAGAGGTGAAATTCATCGTGGAGCTGGTAAGATGCAATCCTCACAAACATGTGCTTTCCATGCAGTTCTCCTTCAGGTGACATATGCAGGGATCAAATCAACAAAAAAGGTCTTGAGGCCTATAACATCACATTGGGAAATAATACCAATGATGAGGTAGTGTACAGCCTGGAGAGGTATGACCTGGACCCACCAATGGAATACCACATCAGAGGGTAAGCTCATAACCATACAAGCATGCAGCTATGCAGTTTGTATGTGCATGCATGGTAACTATTATAGCCCGCTTGACCTATAGCTATTGCAGTGTATCCCTCTAGTCTAGTAATAATGCATTATATTTTCTTTCTATATAGTGTCAGCAAGGATCCACACTTGCACTGCAGTGAAGAGAGGCCTCATGATCCCGAGTTTCAACCATTTTTTGGCTGGCTTGCAGAAGCTAAAGACCTTGGAACAATGGAAATTAAAGATCTCAGAGTCCATGCTTATGGTATTGAGGTAACTATAGCTGTATGTGATGTATGCTTCACATTATGATCCTATTATTCTCTGCAGAATGGTGGTATTAGACTTCTGTTGGGTGTAGATCCAGAAGACAGTGCAAAGCCAATGATCCTTGAACGTGGAACTCCAGGAGAGCAAATTTACATCATATTCAAGACCTTTAGCACAACAGTCGATCCAAGAGTTTTTGATATTCCTGAGATGTGCCGACGCCCACCACCAAAATAGGAGGGCACTAACTTTTAAAACTTGCTGTATGCTAATATGCTGCCTTTTTTGCTTTAGTTTTTTTGATAGCTAATATAGGTATTGATACTTGATGCTCATATGCTTAGTGCTACATTAATTTTGTTTTATGCTAATATGCTGCCTATTAATTTTTTGCTGTACTTTCTTTTTGATGATGCTTTCTAGCTAATAATGCTACTTTTTATTAGGTAACTATACTTACATATTACATAATATCAAGAATACTCTTGATAATAACCATGTATTTACATGTACATATTTGGTATCGCAGTGCTGGACATGTGACAATAAATTGAAGTATATTCATAAAGTGAATATACTCAACACACAGAGCACATGATACATGTGCTTCATGTCTGATCTCCATACATGTACATGTACATGTACATGTATGGTTATAATTTAAATCACAAACTATAAATACATGTACTGTAATTTCAATGTTTAATGATAAAATCAATTGAAATCGTAACATTAAAAACTGGTAGAAATTTTAAAAAGGGCAAACAGTATAAAATACGTGACCATGCAGTTACAAAAGTGATACAAAAATTAACACCAACCACCAGTTTTAGCCGGAGGAGGAGAGGGAGATACAGGGGAACTAGTATTGATATCTTCATCATCAAATTCACTGCCATCCTCAAGATCATCCCTAATAACAAATCATTTTTAAAAGACAGAGCAATAACATACCCTTCTGGTGGCTGTACTTCAGCCATTACAGATAGTAACTCAGGAGTATGACCAACAATAAGAGCAAATAGACGATCAAGAGATTCTTTGTTTCTTAAGCAGTCTGCCTCTACTGTCCGGAGAGTATCAAGTAACTCCTCCTTTGAAGCATCCTTAAGTGTATCAGCAAGTGATTCTGATTTATCTAAACAAGAGAAACAAACTTGTAAACAAAATGAAGGGTTTTATTTTGGCAATTTTGTCATTATTTATTAACCAAAAATAAGCCCATTTTCAGCTAAACAGTAATTGCTTATAATCCTTCCTTATGCATGTACAGTGCATCCAATGCGTTACCTGTTGATAGCTGGTTCTCCAGTAATTGTTTCTTAAGACTATCAATGTCTTTACTGGGCAACAACTGGCTCTTGGTTCTCTCAATCTGCTCTTCTCTCTCCTGTAGCAGGAGCTCATTCTCATTAAGGAGGGAATGAGCTTCTGATAGCTGTGCTTTTAACCTGTAATTAGAAGAAAGATTGTGATTTATCAATAATTTAGTGATTCAATTTTATGCTGAAAGCATTTCTATTTCAATGTCTTACCTTGAACATTCTTCCTTTAATTGTTCAATATCACTTCTGCTATCACTCTCTCTAGCTCCCTCTCCTTCAAAATTATCCCGACATACAACTATCTGAACCGTTCCATCATTTAGCTGTCTCTCTAGAACCTTTAGAATGTCTTTATGATTGGTAGTACTCACATCTTCTCCATTCACTTCAAGCAATCTAAAATAATATGACAAGCATGACATTTCTACACAACAAAATGACAATGTACATGTATATGCACCAAGGAAACAGAGACAATGCAATATAAATGGAGAATTTACATGTTAAAATAGTGACTGGCCCATTGTTTACATAAGGATTGTTACATTATAATGGTGGGAATTGTTAATGATATTCATCGCTTTGATGTGGCAGGAAGTGATGCCACAGTCTGGGCGACCCATGATAGCCTCAACAAGTTAAAGTGATATATAAAGAGAGGGCAATCACTCTCTCAGCATCGCTTCTCGGCCTATCGGCTAAGATCAAGTAGAAATAACTGTTCTTTTGAGTTTAATAGCTCAAACGTGGTCCATGTGGCCACATGCTATTAACCCTATTTTTTTACACTGAGGTGAAGTGAAAGCTTGCTTTCCTCACCTCACGGGTTGCCCTGGTATTGCAGTATCTCCAGGTGCGGCCCATTTCTTTTCATAATTCTCATTAAACATTAATAACATCACACATTATGACATTTTAAGATTAAACATTGTTAAATCTTAAAGTAGTGGTACCACGGGTGATACTGGCCAAAATGGATTCGATACAATACCAATCGATATCAGCTCATATCGTGAGAATCAATACAGTTTTGATATGATATTTAGACCACACCTATGGAGTCACACCCCTTATTATTGACTGTTTTCATCTATGTTTTCATGCACGTGTATCCACGTGTGTGTATTATACGTCACTAACTTATTAAAATTTTCATTATTAATATTATTTAACCATAATAAATGGGTGTGGTCAATGTATCGATCCAGATTCCTTCAAAATTTCGATACCGATATGAATCGATACCGTAAAATATCGTTTGTATCGATAAAATATCGATATATCGCCCACCACTATCTTAAAGTGGAAACTGTGCTAACTAATCTTAGCATAGGTAAAAGTGAATCATTATCTGACTTCTTTTATACATAACTTTTATAATGCTTCAAACACAAGGTTTTTGTCTTTTTTTGTTTACATATGTCGTACTAAAGTTACCACCTTTTTACTAGCTAATGGGAAAATTGGTACTAGGGACGCTACTAAAGCAAAGGAGGGTGTGGTTACCTGTCTCCTGTCAATAAAGTTCCATGAGCTTGTGATGATTCCGTTACGTTCTTAATAACGCAGCCACTCCCACTCGGATTATTAGTTAACATGATGCCAAGTCCTTCGTCAGGCAAACGTCTCAATTGTACTGATACTAAAAGGTTCTGAACACGTCCATTTAGTAAAGAGTACAACGACCTAAATTAAAGAAAATAAAGATTAAATATGTACAGAAAATACATCAGCATGTACAGTACCTTGAAGAACCGGTATTGGCCATTGCTTTATCATGTGGTTGTGTCTATAAAAGAAAAAAGAAGAGAAAAATTAGTGAGGAAGTGTGTTTTTTTGTTACTTGAAATTCTTCGATCTGTTTCAAGAGCCTATCCCTCTCATCCTCCAGTAAAGTATAATCACACTTGAGGGCTTCCTTTTCTTCTTTTGATACGCGAGTTGCTTCATTCATAGCTTGATGCAGTTTGGCAATAGTTAGTTCCTACCGTATATAAATTAGAATTCATTTAGGAGACTTTATTGCTATTATGCAAAAAAACGTGTAATGTCATTTAAGTTTAAAAATTCATAAAAAATCCAATTTTGATCGGAATCAGCTTAAACTTTCTACGCAACATAAGAACATGTATATGCATCAGAAAATGTAATAAAAATGGAGAATTCTACTTTCCATTTTTGACAAAATTTGGTCCGAGACCATGTACTATAGTACAGGGACTTTTACTCAATTTTGGAGCAATTTTAAAAATTCGTAAAAAATTCAATTTTAATCGGAATGAACTTAAACTTTCTACACCACATAAGAACATGTATATGCATCAGATAAAGTTATAAAAATGAAGAATTTATAACTTTTCATTTTTGGTGAATTTTGGCCTGACACCATGTACTATAGTATAGGGACTTTGACCCAATTTTTGAGCAACTTTAAAAGTTCACACATAATCGTGAAAACTAACATCTTTCTGATGCTCTTCCTTCATCTTGTCATTCTCTTTACTCAGCACTGAGACACTGTTAGACAGCTCTTTATTCTTTGACGTCAACACTGATAGAGTTTCATGTAGCTCTAAAACAAGGAAAGCACAATCCATTATATACACGTACATGTACTGCATGTACATATAAGTATATGAATTTTGCATCTACATGTATGCTAGCAAGAGTAGATAATAATAGAGGAGAGTGTCCTACTGTGCATATACCCCCTGCTTCATCA